ATATGAGTCTTCGATTCTTATCCATTCAACCTCCCTATGTCTTTTGATTGGAGCACTTAGCCATTTACATTTAAAATGATTATTGATAGGTATCTATTTATTGTCATTTTAATTCTTTATAACTGTGTTACTCTTCATTCTCCTCCTTCTTCTTCTTTGCCCTTTAACATTTCTTGTATTGCTGGTTTTCTGGTAAAACAAACTCCTTTAGCTTTTTCTTGTCTGGGAAGCTCTTTTTTTCTCCTTCAATTTAAAATGATAACCTTGCTCTGTACAGTAGTCTTGGTTGTAGGTTCTTGCTTTTCATCACTTTGAATATTTCATGCCAATCCCTTCTGGCCTGAAAGGTTTCTGTTGAGAAATCAGCTGACGTTCCATGGGAGCTGCCTTATAGGTAGCTGTCTTTCTCTTGCTGCTTTTAAGATCCTCTCTTTGTCTTAACATTTGCCAGTTTATTTTTGATGTGTCTTGGTGTGGGCCTCTTTGGGTTCATCTTGTTTGGGAGTCTCTGCAATTCCTGGACTTGTGTGTCTTTTTCCTTCACCAAGTTATGAAATCTTTTCAGTTTTTATTTCTTCAAATAGGTTCTCAACCCTTGCTCTCTCTCTTCTCCTTCTGGCATCCCTATGATGTGGATGTTATTGTGCTTCATGTTTTCCCAAAGGTCCCTTAAACTAGCCTCATTTTTTAAATTCTTTTTTCTTTCTGCTGCTCTGATTGGATGTTTTCTGCTGCATTGCCTTCCAAATTGCTGTTTCGATCCTCTGCTTCTTCTAACCTATCGGTTATTCCTTCTAGTGTATGTTTCATTTCTGACTGGATCTTTTTATGGTTTGTTTATATGTTCTTTGCTGTGCTTGATGTCGCTTCCTTGAAGTTTTCATTAAGCTCACTGAGCATCCCTGTTGCCATGTTTTGAACTCCATACCTGGGAAGTTGCTTCCTCCATTTCAGTCAGCCCTTTTCCTGGAGGTTTCTTCTGTTCTTTCATTTGGGACACGTTTCTTTGTCTCCCCATTCCGGTCGCCTCTTTGTGTTTGTTTCTATGTGTTAGGCGGGCCCTCGGTGCCTCTCAGTCTTGGTGGGTGGCTTGCGTAGTAGGTGTCCTGTGGGTCCAGTGGTGCCGTGTCCTTGATCACCAGAGCTGGGTGCTCCAGGAATGTCCCGGCCGTGAGTTATGTGGGCCCTCCAGTTCTGATTGAGTGTTGATTGCTGTCAGCCTGTTCGGTGTGAGGTCAGCCCTCAGGCTGGCTGACTGTGAGGCTCACCCTGACTATGGCTTGTGAGCTGCTGGGCAGGTGCTGAACACATGGAGCAGAGTTCGCCCCAGCAGGGATGGTGCCGGCGGAGAGCTCCCTGTGGATGTGCCGCTTGTGAAGTTAATTGGATCCTGTCCTGCTGCTGTCTGAAGCTGGCCACTGGGTGTGCTGGTGCTGGGCCTCTTGGGGGGGACTCTGGTGCAGGCCGGTGTCAGACGCTGCCTGTGACTGGCCCTGGCAACCTGTTTGGAACTGCAAAGCCGTCCACAGTGTGTGGCTGCCTGTCCTGGGCCGGGGTGTGCACGGGAAGGACCAAGCTGCACCAAGGCCATCTTTTACCAGCACTGAGCCTGGGGCAGGTCAGGGAAATTCCCAAGGCAGCCCAAAACCTGCCTCCTCCTGCCGACTCCCTGTTAGGCTCAGTCACTGAAAGAGCCTCTAGTGGTACCTGAGTTGCATGAGGTAGGGTCTCAGGGAGCCACCAGGTGGGGGCGAGTGGTGTTCACCAGATGGAAATACATTCAGGCTCCGTGCTGGGTCTGAGGCCACTCAACAAAACTCCCTGGGCCCACCAAGTCCAGCTGCTGCCCGCCGGGGTCCACAGACCTTCGTGGTGGGGCAGGGTCTCAGGGAGGGTCAGGGTGAGGCCAGCGGAGTTTTCAGGTCCAAACAGACCAAGCTTTGGCCGTGTGAAGGGAGAGCTCTGCACTAGTTGGACGTGACAGGGGAAACTTGGCCCCGCCCAGAGCCACACAACTCAGTCTGTCCTGGATTCTGCCCAAACCTCGGTGGGGCAGGGCCACCAGATGTCAGCAGGGCGGGGCCAGGAGCCCAGAGGGTGGGGCTAGTGGATTTCTCATGATGGGGAGGTGTCAGTCAGGCTCACGGGAAAGTAGAAAGAGATTTGTATGAGGGATTGGCTCCCACCATTAAGGAGGCTCAGTCCACTGTCTGCCACCTGCAGGCTGGAAGCCCAGACAGCCATTCGTGTCGCCCTGCTGGGCTGGCGGGCCGGGGCCCAGGTGAGCCGGTGTCGCAGGGCAGAGAGATGACTGTCTCAGCTCAGCCAAGGGCAGAGTCGCCTCTCCTTCACCTTGTTGTTCGATTTACACCCTCAGCGCAGCGGGTGATGCCCACTCACGTTGGCGAGGGCTCTATTAACTGATTCTGCTGATTCAAATGCTAATCTCTTCTCGAAATGTCTCACAGATTCACCCAGAAACAACGTATTACCAGTTCTCTAGGCGTCCCTTAACCCAGTCAAGTTGACATGAAATTAATCACCACACGCCGGCCTTTCTAGCCAGCCCCTCAGCACATGTGGCAGCAGCCTTGTCCTGCCAGCACACCAGGCAGCATCGAGGCCCTCGTACCGGGTGCATTGCCGCCTTCAGTCTGGCTGGTCTTGTCCCCCCTGCTCCTCTCTCTGTGGCCCCTCCTTCTGCCAAGAGCCAGGTTCCAGCAGGGCCTGGCTCCCTCCACTGCCACCCTGGGCCTGAGCTGGTGAAGCAGGAGCAGCGCTCAGCCTGCTGAGGGCACACCACCCGGAGCCCAGGCCAGGCTCACACTCCACAGGCACATGGAGCAGTCCGTGTCCACGGTGCGTTCCTGTGCGGCCTGCCCAGAGGCTGCTGCCCAGCAAGTAGACTGAGCTGTGGCTCTTAAAGTCATGCCTGAGCTCAGTGGCTCCCACACTGGCTGCACGTAGAATCCCCTGGGGAGTTTTGGGACTGACCGCCTGATGCCCGAGCTGCTGTCCATACTAATCCCATCAGAACGTCTCGGGTGGGAGCCGGGCAGCAGTGTTTTAAAGAGGCCCTGGTGACCCCACCGGGCAGTGGAGTTGGAGAGCCGCTGGTATAGCTGCTCCAGAAAAGGGGCGGGACTCGGAAGAGCAGCCAGGTTGGACTGTCCAATGAAGGTGGAGCCCCAACTCAGTCCCCTATTTGAAGCCTGTCATTCTACCAGCAAAGCCCTCAGGTGTTTAAGCCACATATAGACATGACACCTGACTCCACACGCCCTCACCACGAACTGTAATCCGTGCACACACTTGACAGGCCATACTCTTCTTTTCTTTTTCTTTCTTTTTTTAAAATATATTTTTATTTATTTCAGAGAGGAAGGAAGTGAAAGAGAGAGAGAGAGAGAGAGAGAGAGAGAGAGAGAGAGAGAGAGAGAAATATTAATGATGAGAGCGAATCATTGAATGGCTGCTTCTTGCCTGCCCCACACTGGGGATCGGGCATGTGCCCTGACTGGGAATCGAACCCTGACCTCCTGGTTCAGAGGTTGATGCTCAACCACTGAGCCACACTGGCCATACTCTCCTTTATCACCCAAATCCTGTGTATGTGATGACACCCAATGCACATGCTCCCTGGGATCGTGAATCGCAGCCCTGTTACCATCTCCTGGCTTTTTGTACGGAGCCTTTCGGTCCCCTTTCCGCAGGCTGCTGTCCCTGTCCACGCGTTCCTTCCCTTTGTCCCTCAGTCTGCGTGTCCCACAGCCAGAGCAGGGGTGAGTCCTGTTCCAGGTATGGCGTGGTGCCGACCGGACAGGGAGGGAGGGGCTGAAATATATGAGAAAGTCCTGTGCCGGGCCTCAGGGTGGTGGGTGCAATGGAGCTGGAGGAAGGAGCCACAGAATTCCAACATGGGAGGGAGGGTGTTGTGTGGACTGCGGGCTGGAGCCGAGACATGGGGAGCCGTAGAGCAAGGTCACCTGAAGGACTGAGGAGATTGGAACTTGAGCCTGCCTGGGGCACCGATGGGTGATGGGAGCCAGAGGGACGAACAGAAAGCTCCAGAGTCCCTGCCATGGGCCCCTGGTCTGCATAGTGGCAGGCAGCTGTGTGGCTGTGAGGTCTGGTTGGTGAGGGTGTGGGCTCTACGGGTGGCACTGTGGCCTGAGGCTGTCTGTTCTCCTGGGATGTCATGTGGCATGGACGTCAGACAGGCGAGGACGTCCCCTGCCTGTCCATGAGGGCCTGCCGCTGGGCTTGGAGCCGTGATGATGGGTTTTCTCGGGGATGGAAGGCAGCAGAGGGACTTTTGAGTCGAGAGCGTCTCGGCAGGCATTGATGAGAAGCCCCGGGGGCGTGGCCGGCTCAGTCCACAGGGCCGTGGGTCTAAGAGCCGGCCCTGTGCCAGGTCTGAGGGGTCAGCAGCCCTGCCCCGAGTGCCTGTGTCCAGGCACGTCCTAGCAAAAGACCCAGATCTGCCTGTGAGAATCACGCCCCCCCCCCCCCCGGAGCGAGCGAGTGCCCTGCAGGAAAGAAGTGGGGAGGCGAAGAAGTGGGGTTCTTTCCTGCTAGGTCCCCAGCTGCACAGAGGAGGCGGGCGGCGGAAGAGGGGTGATCTCAGGAAGACAGAGGGCCGCCTGGAGAAAGAGCTGTGTGCCTCTGGATCTCACACTCATGTCAACACTGTCAGCTGCGGTCACACCTCTGGCCTCCTTTGGCCCTCCCCGTGCAGCAGGAAGTCAGTGCTGCCTGTGTCGCAGATGTGCACACTGCGGCTGGGAGCTATGGTGTGCCTTCGACAAGATCCCGGCGTTATGGTCCAGGATTAGGGCCCAAGGATCCCTCCACGGTACCGGGTTGGCTGTGTATCGTGGAATTTAAGTAGGCCCCTCCCAGGCAGCTGAAGAGGCCTGAATCGGAAGTGGGAAGGGAAGAAGCAGGCGGCAGACCCCCTGGTGCAGAGGGACAAGTCACAGAGGAGCCTCGGTGCGGACATGGGCTGGGCCAAGGTGAGATTTTTAAAACATATTTTCATTGATCTCAGAGAGGAAGGGAGAGAGTGATAGAAACATCCTATAAAATAAGAGAGAAACATGCAAATTAACCATCCCTCCGCTACACTCAAGCCACGCCCACAAAGCCACGCCCACCAGCCAATCCGAGTGACTATGCAAATTATCTGACAAAGATGGCGGTTAATTTGCATACGCAGGTGTCAAGTGCCCCAGGAGGCAACGGCGGCCACGGGCTCCTGGGACCTTCGCCAGCTCTGGGAGGTGCGCCAAGCCACACCTGTGGGCTCCCGGGACTTTCACCGGCCCTGGGAGGTGAGTCCGTAGCCACGCCTACGGCTCCTAAGACTTTTGCCGGTCAGGGAGCAGAGGCCACCCGCACCTAGCCACACCCGCGGGCTCCTGGGACCTTGCCGGCGGAGAGCGGGAGGTTTGGAGGACTTGGCAAAGCAGGAGACCGCTGGACATAGAGCAGGGCTCCCTCTGTCACCCCAGCTTCCTCATCACAGCTGTGGAAACTGACAGCAGGGAGGAGGAAGTCCCACCCCCACAGAATCAGCCAGAATCAGCCATTGGTCAGACAGCTCTCAGCAGCCTGACAGCCAGGACTCTCACTCACCTGCATCTCAGACCGTGACAGTAGAGAGGTGGGACTATGTCTAAAGAACACCTGTTGACACAACGTAGCTCTGCAGCCGAAAGATGCTGGCGTCATCGACAGAAAGTGTCTGCAGAGCAGCGTGCGTCTGATCTTGAAAGAAGGCGGCGCCTGCAACAGGATGTATCTGAACATCAGCTACTGGAAAAACGTCGCTCTGATGCCGAAAAACAGCGGCATCTTCGACAGAAAATGTCTAAAGACCAACGCGCCTTTGAAGTTGAAAGAAGGCGGTGGCGACGACAGAATATGTCGAGAGAACAGTCATCAACAAGTACTACCAATTCTGGTAGGAACTGCCTTCTCAGCGAAAATGGAGTACATGAGGATGCAATCCTCGAACATAGTTGTGGTGGAATGACTGTTCGATGTGAATTTTGCCTATCACTAAATTTCTCAGATGAAAACCCATCCGGTGGTAAATTTACTTGATGTTGTAGCAAAGGGAAAGTCTGTCCAAATGATATACATTTTCCAGATTACTCGGCATATTTAAAAAGATTAATGACAAACGAAGATTCTGACAGTAAAAATTTCATGGAAAATATTCGTTTCATAAATAGTCCTTTTGCTTTTGCTTCCATGGGTGCAAATATTGCATCGCCATCAGGATATGGGCCATACTGTTTTAGAATACACGGACAAGTTTATCACTGTACTGGAACTTTACATCCTTCGGATGGTGTTTCTCAGAAATTTGCTCAACTCTATATTTTGGATACAGCTGAAGCTACAAGTAAAAGATTAGCAATGCCAGAAAACCAGGGCTGCTCAGAAAGACTCATGATCAACATCAACAACCTCATGCATGAAATAAGTGAATTAACAAAATCGTACAAGATGCTACATGAGGTAGAAAAGGAAGCCCAGTCTGAAGCAGCAGCAAAAGGTATTGCTCCCACAGAAGTAACAATGGCGATTAAATACGAGCGTAACAGTGACCCAGGTAGATATAATTCTCCCCGTGTAACCGAGGTTGCTGTCATATTCAGAAACGAAGATGGAGAACCTCCTTTTGAAAGGGACTTGCTCATTCATTGTAAACCAGATCCCAATAATCCAAATGCCACTAAAATGAAACAAATCAGTATCCTGTTTCCTACATTAGATGCAATGACATATCCTATTCTTTTTCCACATGGTGAAAAAGGCTGGGGACAGATATTGCATTAAGACTCAGAGACAACAGTGTAATCGACAATAATACTAGACAAAATGTAAGGACACGAGTCACACAAATGCAGTATTATGGATTTCATCTTTGTGCGGGACACTTTCAATCCTATTTTAAATGCAGGAAAATTAACTCAACAGTTTATCGTGGATTCGTATTAAAAAATGGAGGCCAATCGGATAAATTTCATCAAAGCAAACCAATCTAAGTTGAGAGTTGAAAAATATAGTGGTTTGATGGATTATCTCAAATCTAGATCTGAAAATGACAATGTGTCAATTGGTAAAATGATAATACTTCCATCATCTTCTGAGGTTAGTCCCAGAAATATGCAGCAGCGATATCAGGATGCTATGGCAATTGTAACGAAGTATGGCAAGCCCGATTTATTCGTAACCATGACATGCAACCCCAAATGGGCAGGTATTGCAAACAATTTACAACGCTGGCAAAAAGTTGCAAACAGACCTGACTTGGTAGCCAGAGTTTTTAATATTGAGCTGAATGCTCTTTTAAATGATATCTGTAAAGTCCATTTATTTGGCAAAGTAATAGCTAAAATTCATGTCATTGAATTTCAGAAACTCGGACTGCCTCACGCTCACATATTATTGATATTAAATAGTGAGTCCAAATTACGTTCCTCTAATTAATTCCCTTTCAATGTGCACGAATTTTGTGCACCGGGCTACTAGTCAATGATAAGAGAGAATCATGGATCGGCTGCCTCCTGCACGCCCCACACCTGGGATCGAGCCCGCAAACCGGGCATGTGTCCTGACTGGGAATCGAACCCTGACCTCCTGGTTCAACAGTCAATGCTCAACGACTGAGCCACACCAGCCAGGCTAGCCGGGTGAATTTTGAATATCAACCCCTTGGCATCTTTGCACCTGAGACTGGTCCCTTCCTCCCACTTCTGTAGCTAGAGAGACGGGGCAGGCTGTGGGACCACCTTGCTGCGGAGCATGCACTGTGCACCTTCCCACCCTCACCAGCCGTGGGGCTTGACACCATAGTCTCTCTGAGCCCCAAGCTCAGACCTGTAGGCGCACAGCAGGCCCAGAGTGCGGGGCTGTGGGCTTGTCGTGGGAGGTGCAGGCGAGGCCTTTGCCCAGCAGACGTGGTGGACGTGACGGGAAGCTGGTGCCCGCCAGGCCCGGGCAGGCCGCGCTCTCCTCGCCTGCTGAGCGGTTGTCCCAGCTCCTGCTTCTGCGCAGGGACCAGCGCATTGGTGGGCGCTTCTGTCCTTTAGGTTGAAGGTGTTTATGTTGCTGTCCCCCAGGGGTCTCAGTGAAGGAGGGAGCGGAAGGGTCCGGCTGGAATCTGGGTGAGAGGCAGCTTTGAGCCCCATCCTAGGAGCCTAGTCAGCAGATTGTTGGGCCTGGCGGGGTCAGGGCATTGTCCCCACGGGGTCAGGGCAGTGGTGACCTTTGGGATTTGGCTGACAGAGCCCTAGGGCTGGGGCGGGGGTGGAGGTGGAGGGGGCAGTGGGCACTGCCCTGTGACAAGAGCTCTGTCCCCAGCCTGGCCCTCAGGGCGTGCACACACCTCCTGATGGGGGTGGGCATGTCCCTGGGCACCAGCCTGGGAGGTGCTTGGCCAGCTCGGGGGTGACTCCACTCCCTGTGTTCAAGGGCACTGGGCAGGGCAGCCAGCACGGGGCTGGGAGGCGTGGGTCCCGGCTGGCCCTCTTCACTGGCCTGAGCAGCCCAGCCAGGGGCAGAGGAGTCAATATTTAGGTTGGCTCAGTCCCGGCCTCAGGATTGCGCACCCTGGTGTGTGTGATGGGAAGGAGGCTGGGACAGGAAGCTCCAGGGGAGGGTGCCGGCTGTGGAGAGCAGGGGGGAACTGGGGAATAGGGGGGCCAGCTGATTCATAGGAACCCCGGGGAGAGGGGGTGTCCAGCCTGGCCCGGGGGAGGGCATGAGGAAGGGGCAGGGCCCCATCCTGTCCCTTTTGTCCTCAGCTTCCTGGTGGAGGCTGGGGGGCGCAGCCAGTCTCCCACCCACCGGGTGGGCATTCTGCAGACGGCTCTCGGAGAGGGGGGGCAGCTGGAGCTGGCGGGGGGAAGGCGTAGGCAGGAGGGATGAAGAGCAGAGGAGGAGCCATGGGGGCGGTGTGGGGACAGGTGCTGTGTGCCAGGGTGGGAAGGCTGTTGGGCTGGGGAGAAGGGGTGTGTGGGACAGTGACTTTCAGTGAGGGGCGGGGAGGGGGTCTGAGGGAGGACAGTCTGGGAGGGAGGCTCCGTGGAGGGGCTGGGAGGGACGGGGCTGCATGCGCAGCTGTGCGTGTGCAGAGTGGGGCTGTGCACTGAGCCTCAGCGAGCCTGGGCCGGGCCCTGCTGAGACACCGCGCACCGGCCTGTGAGTGTGTGGAAGCAGCAGGTGTGTGAGGAAGACCGGGCTCCGGGCTCCAGGCTCCGGGCGCGGGTGGGGCCAGGCTGTCCTTCGAGGAGGCAGCCCAGGAAGGTCCTGGCGTTGCTGTGGCTGGTGCTGGAAGGGCCAGCGCCGGGTTTGGGGCCCTGGGAGGGTGCGGGGCGCTGTGTGCAGACCCCGGTGCCAGGACGGAGGGGCCTCTGAAGGGCCTCGCCTAGGTCCTGCCCGCCCTCCTGCTCCGTCCGGGCTGTGCAGGCTCCCGGCTGGCTGGCTGTGCCGTCCAGGCCCAGAGCGCACCCGCCCTCCGGGTCTCAGGTGCGTCTCCACGGAAACGTGCCTCCTGCCTCTGCAGTCGAGCCAGCAGCGGCCAGGCCAGGGCCGCAGGTCATAGAGGTCAGCCACTGTCCTGGGACCTCGCGCCCTCCTCCGCGCCATCCCCTGAGGAGGGTGCTGCTGGTTAGAGTCATTCCACAGACGTGGCGACTCGGGTGCAGAGATCCGGATCCCCCGAGGTCACTGGGCAGGTGGCCCTGGCCCCGGGGCCTCTGTTCACATGTACCGCCCTGCGTCGCACACAGAACACCAGGACTTGGGCAGCGCTCTCTCCATGGCCCACTCGCCTCACCTCCACTCAGCCCCACCTCTCCCCTGGCCCCGGGGACCACGCCGCCTCCTGGTGGCCCGTGCCTGGCGAGCGCAGGTTCCAGGAGCTGGTGGGAGAGGGACCCTTAGTCCTAGGTCCGAGGACCCTGCTTCGAGCCTGCCGTGGGCTCGTTGCCAGCTGTGCCATCTGTCATGGGTGCGAGGCCACATCCGGGTGGGTCATCCCAGGACGTTCTTCCTGAGGAGGAAGCCTGAGTGTGGAATCTGGCCAGATGTTCTCTGAAGCAGGGTCCTCCCCCAGCCCCTCCTCAGTGCTGGAGGGAAAGGGCCCAGGAGCCTTAGTAGTGACCCTGGGTAGAGGGAGTAGAAGGTGGAGGGCCCCTGGTCGGGCTGGGAGAGTCAGAGAGATCCAGAAACTAGGGCTGCCCCTCCCCTCCCGGGGACCAGCGAGTGGGAGGTGCGGACGGGGAAGACGGGACAGGTCAGGGTTTAAAGAGGCTGGAGGACAGGCCGGTCACGGTTGTTCCGCCTCGTCTTGCTCCGATTCGTGTCGGATGCTGCTGCTCACTGGTCACCCAGAGGCGTGTGGGTGGGGGTGGGGGTGGGGGGGAGGGGCTGCCGCATCCCCAGCCAGGTGACCAGTGGGCAGGCACGGCCGGAAGAGGGTCTCCTCCTGGCTCTGCTCCCCGCCAGCTGTGTGGCCCAGGCAGGCAGCACGACCTCTCTGGGCCTGCGCGTCAGGTTCTGTGGCCGGGCATCCAGGAAGGCAGACTCGCCGACCTGGGAGCACTGGTGCGTGTGTTAAGAGACCTCGGCCTCCGGGGTCAGGCTGCCTCCGTTAAACTCTGGCTGCGGTTCCTCTTGGTCCCATGACCTGGAGCAGTCACCCCCTCCAATCGCCGTCCTCTGCGATTCAGAAATGGAGGCCATGGTTTGTACGGAAAATTCTCGGATGAGGTTAACAGCAGCAACAACAATTGCTTTCTGTTGCTGGTGGGCAGGTGCCGTCCCTCGGCGGGGGGCCAGCAGCCGCAGCCTGGCAGGAGGCGTGGTCTGGAAAGACCCCGAGCGCTCCAGACCAGCCTCAGCCTCCAAAGGCTCTGCTGAGAATTCCCCAGGAGGTCGGCGGGGAGTGGGCAGCGCTCTGGACTCTGAAAATGCCCGGGAGTGGGGTCCGTGTGAAGTCTCCGGGCAGGACTGAGCCTGGAGTGGCAGCTGCATGAGGGCCCCAGCCTCCAGTGCCCCCTCAGCTGACCCCGGGGGCAGGAGGCCGGGCGGCTGGTGGGGCACGGAGACCCCGACCTGTGGCCCGAGGACGGATTTCCTGCTGAGCAGAAGCCGGTGAACCCAGGCTCTGACTCGCCCTCCCCACGAGCCTGGGACCCTCAGCAGTGCAGGGATTTATGGGGAGCCAGCCTCTCTGAGCCCCCCGGCGGGCGGGCATTCCATGCCTCCTCGCCCGTTCGTGGAGTCCTCCCCACAGCCCTGCCGGGCACCGCTCTCATCCCGCGTTACAGAGGCTGAGGGAGCCGGGGCGCCTGGTGCCGGCCAACACACGCAGAGCTGGACGGAACCACGGCCCTCGCTGGGGGATCAGGGACCGGGGCCTAGACTTCTCAGAGCCCTTCCGCTCGAGCAGGTGGGCAGCAAGCCCCTGGGGGACTGGCCAGTGCGTGAGGCCAGGGTGCGAGCGCGGACAGGTGAGCTGCACGGACTCCACCCTCTCGTGCCAGGCAGGGCCATCAGCCCTCCCAGACCAGGACTGTCATGGTCACCGGGGTATCTCCTAGGCAGGGGGCCTTGACAATGTTTTCTTAAATTGATTTCAGAGAGAGAGGAGGGGAGAGGGGGGAGAGAAACACCCATGTGAGAGAGAAACACTGATAGGTTGCCTATCGCATGCGCCCCGACTGGCTTCAAACCTACAAAATGGGCAGATGCCCTGACCAAGAATTGAACCTACCATCCTCCTTGCACGGGAGGGACTACATGCTAACCACTGAGCCGCCTGCCAGTGCAGGGCCCTGAGATTTAGGCCCCTTCTGGCCGGGACCTGGGAACTCCTCCCTGGGGGCCGTTAGCAAGGCACTGAGGGAGATGAGGGCAGGGGCACCCCCGGTGCAGGGGGCCGAGCCCAGGGCTCAGCTGGCAGTTAGGAAGGGATCCCATCCCACCCGCAGTGAGTCAGTGACAGGAAGCAGCCCTCGCCAGCAGGCGGGCAGTCCCCGCGGGGAAAGGGGAAGCGAGGAGGGAAGGGAACGGTGAGCCATCCAGCTCCCGCAGGCCAGGAGGCGGCCACAGCTGCAGGCGGCTCGTGGGGGTGTCGGCCGGAAACCTCTCTTGCCCCCACGACCCATCTGAGATGGGGCGCAGGAGCCTGGGGGCAGCAGCCGGGGGCATTGGGAGGAGCACTCACATCCAGGCATTTCTGTGACCCTGAACAAGGAGTCAGCCAGAGAAGCTCCGCCTCTGCGCTGAGCCCCTGCCCGCAGCCCTGGCCCTGTGGGCAGGCCTGGCCGCCCTGCTCGGAGCCGCCTGGTGCCCGGCAGCGCTGGCGATGACCCGGTGCCTGCGGGGAGGCTTGTCCGGGGCGCTGCTCTGGCCATCTCTCTGGCGGCTCCTGGGGGAATTGTCCGGTGCCACGGCACACCTGCGTGTGTTCTCTCTCTTCCGTCGCTGGGTTAAATGGGGAAGATAATTCCTACACCTGCAGGAGGGAGGCGTCCAAGCGGCCGTGTCCACGTGGTGGCCTCACGGGCCGCACTGAGCGCTGGGTGGGCGCTGGAGCCCCCTCCAGCCAGCTGCATCCTCTGCCCTCCCCCCAGCACGTGAAGATCCTGCGGGCGCTGGTCCTGGGGGAGCTGGAGAAGGGCCAGCACCAGTTCCAGGCCCTCTGCTTCGTCACCCGGCTGCGCGACCACGAGATCATCCCCAGCGAGGCCATGGCCAAGCTCCGGCAGGTGAGGCCGCCCGCCGCCCCCCCTTCTGCCCCAGCGCTCCCCCTTCTGCCCCAGCGCTCCCACCCCTGCAGCCAGTGAGGCCCCAGCCTGCACCCACCTCGGCATCCCGCCAGCACCTGGCCTTGGCACTCGGACCTGTACCCTGCCTCACCCTCCAGGCCTGAACCCCCTGACTCTGCCCTGGCCGCACCTGAACTTGTACCCCAGATCCCTGATCTGTACTGAGCCCTCCACTTCCATTCCTCCAGCCCCTAAAGTCAGTGCCCCCACTACGGTGCGGCTGGGTGCTCGCACTCTGAGGGGATCTGCCTCAGACCGGGGCCACCCTCACTCTCTGGTGGTGTTGGGCACGTTACCACCTTCAGAGCCTCCACCTGCCCTAGCCTGTCCCCTGTGCCTGCCCTTCCCAGGGACACTCGGTCTCCTGGAAGCATGGGCCCCAGAGGCCACTTTCCTCGGACAGCCTGCCCCCTGGTCCCTGTGACAGCAGGACTGGGTGCTTCGTGGGGCCTCAGAGGACGGCGGGGCAGCTGCAGGGGCGGCTGCACTCTGAGCATCAGCGTCCCTGCAGCTGGAGGGGGGCTGGGTGTTCCTGAATGCCCCCTCAGATTGGCCCAGGCGCTAAGACCACCAGCCTGGGCCTGTCTGGCTTGGTGATGGGGGACGTGGGCAGGTGATGGGGGACAGGTGATGGGGGACGTGGGCAGGTGATGGGGACAGGTGATGGGGGATGTGGGCAGGTGATCAGCGTCCCTGCAGCTGGAGGGGGGCTGGGTATTCCTGAATGCCCCCTCAGATTGGCCCAGGCGCTAAGACCACCAGCACATCCAGAGACCTGGTGGGAGTGGCCCTTCTCCTCCCACAGAAGAACCCACGGGCAGTGCGTCAGGCGGAGGAGGCGCGGGGCCTGGAGCAGCTGCACATGGACATGGCCGTGAACTTCAGCCAGGGGGCCCTGCTGAGTCCCCACCTGCACAACGTGTGTGCGGAGGCCACGGACGCCATCTACACCCGCCAGGAGGACGTCCGGTTCTGGCTGGAGCAAGGTCCGCTGGGTCTGCCCGCTGCCTGCCCATCAGAGAGGATAGGATTCATGTGAGGTGTGGGGTTCAGGGAAGGGACCTGCACAGAATGCTGGCTTCGCAGGCTCGGGAAGGGCATTCCCAGCCAGTCCCACCCCCTGGTCTTGGTGATGATGAGCACAGATGGGCGCAGGCACGTGGTCAGGGGGGGGGGGGAGGCAGACTCCCGTGCCCACATGCCCCTCTCTGCCCTGCCTCTCAGAACTCCACGCCTCTCCTTCCTCTCACACC